CAGCAGCCGGACTCTTGTGGACCGTAGGGGGCCGGTTCAGCAGCCGGTGTCCTGTAGATGTTTTTTTGAGGGTCAGGGTTGTTTTGCTGAAATGTGTAAGAGTGGTCTTGGACTGCTGAACAGGGAGTCCTGACTTGACTGAAGCAACTTGGAGCATTGAAGGATCTCAGGTCCTGGTGCTGCTCCATAGTCCAGGTAGAAAAATGTCAAAGGTTCTGTCAGGTGTGAAGAGCACCTTCTCATGGTGGCTGACCAGTGGTCCACATCTGACAAGATGCTCTTTATAAGACTGAGTTAGTTGTGTCTCCTGAATCTTTTGGTTGAAAGACGAAACATTTGAACACAGAAACCGTCCAGGGGACCTGATCTGTTGGACCACAGTTTTATTTCTCTGCCAGCTGCTGCTGAAGTTCTCTTGAGCAAATCAAAGGTTTCTCTCCCTGTGCTGTGCGGTCATCACTTGCAGACGGTTTGAAGTCACAACTATTGTCAGACTGTCTGCTTCAGACGTTCATGAACGAGGAACAACAACCCACCTGGAGCCACGTGCGCTGTCGGTTCCCCGCTCGTGCACGCAGCTTCATTTCCATCATTAAACAGGGGCGGAGCCTCCAGGTTCAACTGTCCCCCTCTTACAATGCTGTGATTGCTAGTATCACTCAGCCCTCTGTGAACAGTAAACAGCCATCAGGTGCTAATGATCCATTGTTAGGCTGATGGTCCTTCTTGAGCATGTGATCAGCTGGTTCTGGTTGTCAGCAGCAAACTGGTTGATCCACTCTGAGAAGGTGCTATTTAAGAGACTGAGCTGAATACAGCACCTCAGACTGAAGAAGTCCTCAGGATGAGTGACGAAACGTTTCTACATTTTTTTGTTGATTTGCTTTGTTTTGTTTTTTTGAATGTCCAGAGGACCAGATTGAACTTTTTTAGATTTTTCTACCTGGATTATTGAGCAGCATCAGGAACTAACACATTCCTAACCTGCATCGTCTTTGCCCCCCCAGATCCACACGGGCATGCAGCACCAGATCATCTGGCCCTGCCAGCCGTACTGCGTCCCCCTGGACGAGAAGCTGCTGCCTCAGCTGATGAAGGAGTCGAACTACGACACGCACATGGTGGGCAAGTGGCACCTGGGCATGTACAGGAGGGAGTGCCTGCCCACGCGCCGCGGCTTCGACTCCTACTTTGGTTCGTATTGAAGACATTTCATATGGGATTCTTTTTCTCCTCGTGTATTTTTCAACAAACACAAACAATAAATCTGTTTCAGTTGTTTTCAGCTCCGCAGCAACTCTGTGTCTGTTTGTGTAGCTCCGGGATAGCAACCTGTCTAAAGTGTGTGTACGAGGGCGTTCTGTACGCTTATCCACTGTGTTGACCAAAGCTGTAAACCCTTGGTCACTTTATTAATGAGCATCACGTCTTTCACTACGAACTCCGTTACTGCTCCAGTTGTTTCCACGTGCACTTTTGAATTGTGTTCATACGGAGTAATACCTTGGAACAGTTCGGTCAGTGATCCCTGTCGGCTGATCCCTGTCGGCTGATCCCTGTCGGCTGATACTTTGTGATCCCTGTCGGCTGATACTTTGTGATCCCTGTCGGCTGATACTTTGTGATCCCTGTCGGCTGATCCCTGTCGGCTGATCCCTGTCGGCTGATACTTTGTGATCCCTGTCGGCTGATACTTTGTGATCCCTGTCGGCTGATCCCTGTCGGCTGATACTTTGTGATCCCTGTCGGCTGATACTTTGTGATCCCTGTCGGCTGATACTTTGTGATCCCTGTCGGCTGATCCCTGTCGGCTGATACTTTGTGATCCTGTCGGCTGATACTTTGTGATCCTGTCGGCTGATACTTTGTGATCCTGTCGGCTGATACTTTGTGATCCCTGTCGGCTGATACTTTGTGATCCTGTCGGCTGATACTTTGTGATCCTGTCGGCTGATACTTTGTGATCCCTGTCGGCTGGTAGTTTACTTGAAGTTGAAGCACTGGTCGATGGTGTCGTATCCATGAAACCATCATAAATGTCTTAGTGGTGTTATGTTAACTTGATAAAGATTCGTGGTTTCACGTGAAGAGGTCGCGACAGCAGCAAGGCAGGTTCTGCTCATCACACGTCGTCGTGCAGCGTCTTCTTCTTTACAGCCAAAATAATTCCAAACAACAGACGTGCTGCCGCTCTGGTACCAAACTGTCAGATGTGTCGGCGTCTGTCGAGCCTGACGTCACTGTGCACGTGGTTAAAGCTCAGTGCTGACTTCTCCTGCTCTGCTCCGCTCACAAGTCACGTGACCAGATCACGTGACCAGATCACGTGACCAGATCGCGTGACCAGATCACGTGACCAGATCACGTGACCAGATCGCGTGACCAGATCACGTGACCAGATCGCGTGACCAGATCGCGTGACCAGATCGCGTGACCAGATCACGTGACCAGTCAAACCTTTGTGATTAGAACATATGGTTTTATTGTTACAAATGCAGTAAAGTGTTCAGTCCTCCTTCATCCATGTGTGTGTTTCTGAGCTCACTTGGCTCCGTAATGAAATGTGTTGACCTCAACACCTGTTCACGTGTAGAGGTTCATCCAGTAAGTGTGTTCTGATGGTTCATTCATATCTGCTCTGTGTTTGGTGACATCTTTTGCTAACAGACAACAAACGCACAAAAACAACATGTTTGTTGCCTTCGGCAGCAGTTCAAGTGTAAAACAGTGATGTTTGTCCCAGGTGTCCGTCTCATGTAATGACGTTCATCCTGTGTGTCAGGTTACCTGACAGGAAGTGAGGACTACTTCTCTCATACTCGCTGCTACAACATCGCTCCTCTGAACCGGACCCGCTGTGCTCTGGACCTCAGAGATGGGGAGGAGGTCGCCACGGCGTATAAAGGCGTTTATTCCACGGAGCTGTTCAGCCAGAGAGCCGTCAGCATCATCCAGAAACACAACTCGAGCAAGGTGACGGGAGGTCGGGGGGCAGCAGCATGAGAGGGAGGTCCACACATCTCTGTCCACAGCCTCTTCCAGCTCTTCTGGGAGGACTCCAAGTGTTCCCAACAGAGACACAGTCTCTCCAGGGTCTTCCTGGGGTCTCCTCCCAGTCAGACATGCCTGGACCTCCTCAACTGGATACTGCACAATACACAATACTCAGTCCACAATACTGCAGACGCTGCACCAATCCCTCTGTCAGTCTCTCGCTCCATTCCTCCCTCACTGTGAACAAAACCCAGAGATACTTGAACTCCTCCACTGGAGGCAGAACCTCACCCTCGACCTGAAGACAACAATCCACCCTTTTCAGACTTGATTTATTTATTTGTTTATTAGTTTGTTTGTTTACGAAGCTGAGTGTAGTTTTATCAGACATGATTTAAAAAATGACCTGAGCAGTAGGGGTTGAACGAGTGTATAATTTTTAAACTCGACATTAACATAATAAAACCCGAGTAGAACTCGAGTATTTGATGACGTCATAGATCTCAAGATACAAAAATAAATAAATAAATAAAACCGCAATAAATGGTAATTATTTACAAAAAAAAAAGACCAACAAAACATTGGGAGCGTATATTATGCTCCTCCCATTGATCATACTGCAAATAAGTCACAGGAAAAACTAAACTATTAGTTTTTATTATTAAACTGCAACCGTGAAGAAACGCAGCACGTCGGAAAAGAAACTTAAAACTGGGGGGGGGGGACCACCCCGCAGCACCGCCAGCTGTGGTGCGCATTAAGTTTAGTTTTAGAGATTGATATGTTTATAGATTTTTTAATAGGTTTAGAGATGAATATTTTTTGCTTTTTGTTTGTGAAACAAGGTCAGAGGAAGCTGGTTCTGGTTCGGTCATTGGACCCGGTGTTGCACCATACTCTGTGACCTGCAGCAGTGCAACACCGCCCCCTACGGTCATACGGTGGTCACATGATATGACGTCACTACGGATACTTGATGTTACATTTTTAACCTCGATAGATGTCCTAGCAATCGATGTGTAGATTACTCGAGTATTCTGTTACTGCCCTACTGAGCAGAGCTGTTCTCCATAGTTACAGCGCCTTGCTAAAGTATTGGGCACCCTTGAACTTTTCAACCTTTTGCCACATTTCAGGCTTCAAACATAAAGATATAAAATTTTAAATTTTTTGTGAAGAATCAACAACAAGTGGGACACAATCGTGAAGTGGAATGAAATTTATTGGATGTGTCAAACTTTTTTTAACAAATAAAAAACTGAAAAGTGGGGCGTGCAGTATTATTGGGCCCCTTTACTTTCAGAGCAGCAAACTCAGTCCAGAAGTTCAGTGAGGATCTATGAATGATCCAATGTTGTCCCAAATGACTGATGATGATCAATAGAATCCACCTGTGTGTAATCAAGTCTCTGTATAAATGCACCTGCTCTGTGAGAGTCTCAGGGTTCTGTTCAAAGACCAGAGAGCATCATGAAGACCAAGGAACACACCAGGCAGGTCCGAGATACTGTTGTAGAGAAGTTTAAAGCCGGATTTGGATACAAAAATATTTCCCAAGCTTTAAACATCCCAAGGAGCACTGTGCAAGCAATCATATTGAAATGGAAGGAGTATGAGACCACTGCAAATCTACCAAGACCCGGCCGTCCCTCTAAACTTTCATCTGGAACAAGGAGAAGACTGATCAGAGATGCAGCCAAGAGGCCCATGATCACTCTGGATGAACTGCAGAGATCTACAGCTGAGGTGGGAGAGTCTGTCCATAGGACAACAATCAGTCGTACACTGCACAAATCTGGCCTTTATGGAAGAGTGGCAAGAAGAAAGACATTTCTCAAAGATCTCCATAAAAAGTGTTGTTTAAAGTTTGTCACAAGCACCTGGGAGACACCAAACATGTGGAAGAAGGTGCTCTGGTCACATGAAACCAAAATCAAACTGTTTGGACACAATGCAAAACAGCTCATCACCCTGAACACACCATCCCCACTGTCAAACATGGTGGTGGCAGCATCATGGTTTGGGCCTGCTTTTCATCAGCAGGGACAGGGAAGATGGTCAGAATTGATGGAAGATGGATGGAGCCAAATACAGGACCATTCTGGAAGAAAACCTGTTTGAGTCTGCAAGAGACCTGAGACTGGGACGGAGATTTATCTTCCAACAAGACAATGATCCAAAACATAAAGACACATCTACAATGGAATGGTTCACAAATAAACGTATCCAGGTGTTGGAATGGCCAAGTCAAAGTCCAGACCTGAATCCAATCGAGAATCTGTGGAAAGAGCTGAAGACTGCTGTTCACAAACGCTCTCCATCCAACCTCACTGAGCTCCAGCTGTTCTGCAGGAAGAATGGGCAGAACTTCAGTGTCTCCATGTTCAAACCTGATGGAGACAAACCCCAAGAGACTTGCAGCTGGAACTGCAGCTGGAACTGCAGCAAGAGGCGGAGCTACAAAGGATTAACGCAAGGGGGGCCCAATAATACTGCACGCCCAACTTTCAGTTTTTATTTGTTAAAAAAGTTTGACTCATCCAATAAATTTCATTCCACTTCACGATTGTGTCCCACTTGTTGTTGATTCTTCACAAAAAATTAAAATTTATATCTTTATGTTTGAAGCCTGAAATGTGGCAAAAGGTTGAAAAGTTCAAGGGGCCCAATACTTTAGCAAGGCACTGAAAATAAAAGATGGAGCAGTGGAGACCAGAACAGCTTCTGCAGCTCTCAGGCCTCCGATCAGCTCAGAGTTTGAGTCGGCACAAAGAGATGAAGACCATGACTGATGAAGACCAAGACTGATGAAGACCATGAC